GTACATGTACATTATCCTCGTCTTTTCCCCATCACCCACCTATTCAAGTTCTTTCACTAAGTTATCCTCGGTCTACCTCTGCTTCTTTAGCCCTGGTTTTCCAGTGAAAGTAAATGATCAGGGCCTCTATATCAAACTACAGACCGTAAGAAATTATCATGAGCGCCCTACTGGACTGCAAATTCCAGATTTTCAAGGAATCATTTTAAAAAATAACAAAGCATGCAGCCATGACTACATTATGATGTATATTGTCGCAGATTTTAGTCTTACATAATGATACATACAAAAGCAGACAAAAAACTTGGTGAGTGAGAAATACTGAAAGCAACGACAAATCAAAGCGATAAACTGAGCGGCAAACAATGTGGCAGTGTGCACTATACATAATACCTACAGACTCTAAAAGATTAAGAGGATCTTGTTTCTAACACAGGCACTTGTAACTCCTGCACTCCCACCATTCACAAGCATGACAGAGTCTGAAGGGGGAAATTCTTGCTTGGCACTAGAGCAGGGAAAACACTTGAAGACTACAGGGGAAAAACAACCGTAGTCACAAACTGGAAATTATGAGGGTACCAATTTTAAACGTTTGTTGACTAATAACTGTATTTCTGTTCAACTGTTTGTTGATTATTGCAGTTAGATTTCCTATTCAACAACACTTAATAATAAACCATCAGTCAAACAAATTAATATAAAGTTATGAGTCAATGCATCATGCAGAAGAGTTAACGCTCAGATGCTACTGGACCGCTAACAACAACAACAACGAGTCAAAAAGCTTTGACATTGGCACTACCACAATTTCCAGTTTGTGACTACCGTCATTTTTTCCTGTGCTCTTCACTTCTGTCATCTATAAGCTTGCTGCCTCAGAGAGAGAAACTCCTCAAGTCACTTTGAAAGAAGACACTTTGAGAAGAGTCGCTAGATTGTAGAGAGCCTGGTAAGCCGCAGAGCTCCAGGAGTATGTGTTTATCCCAGTCACAGTTTGAGAGACACAAACAACGCCACAATGCTGGAAGTCAACCAGGCCAAGCTCAGCACACTTCACTTTAACTATCTATCATAACCTAACTTTTCCTATGCAGGCTTTTCAACTCAACTGAACTTATCCGCACACTGAGCTAACAAAATAAAAGTACAAACAAAAGAAGAATACACAACCAATTCTCACATGCTTCTTAACATGTCTATATTATTATATTCCAAATAATATTTTCAAAATTAAATGTAAAATACTCAAGAGTTAGAGACGAAAATTAAAGTGACCAAAAAATAAAAAGAATTCTGTTACCAAGGCCTTACCTTACCTGAAACATACGAGTCACAACGTGGTGGAATCAGGCGCTCGTCAATGTTTGGGTAATGGAGTTATTGGTATCATCTAAAAGCTTATTCATTTGCCTTGTTTTCAATTTAAAAATACCTATCTGTCTTGAATAGAGGTAGAGATATTTGGGATTGAAGGAGGTGGGGTGGCCTGGTTTCAGTGGTCAAATAAGTGAGAAAATGGCTGTCAAACTTTGTTAACTTCAGTAGCTTGGGAGTCCTTGAAAACTGAAAAATTACATATTCTGTGCCTTTAATCAACATTTTAAAATTAAAATACACTTGGAAATGTGTTATTATATGAAACTAAAAGGTGTTGGGCCAAAATACAAAATACAGTAAAAATTGCCAAAGTGGCGGAAAAATGCCTGTTTCTTCATATTGATTAATTTGACGAGCCCCTGATTTCACCACGATGCCTCACATATTTTCATCTTACAACGTCCGCACAACACGGACAGAAACTACACTTGAAAGAATAAAAAGCATGTGAAAAGCTCTCAAGAGAAAAGAATCTCCTCATCAGAGTACAGCGAACGGACAACGTCACAGCAAATCTACAGCTAGGTACTAGGTGCACACAAGATCAAATCCTACCCGATCATGCAAAAGCTTGTCAGCGTGGGTCAGTTTTTCCACAAGCTCGGAGCACAGAAGAAGAAAAAGAAGGGTGGGGTAGGGGGGTAGGGGG